ACACCGAAAGCTATGTAGTAGTGCCGCTCTTTGCATTACAGATAAATACTTTGATAGGCGAATTCAAATATGCAAATGTGACTTTTTCACTGAAAAAAAAAGAAATTTTCAAGTGAAATATTTGAGCAAAATATTTCTATACTTTATACTTTACATACGCTTTTACAATGTAAAGAAATATAATGTATCGAATATAACATTGTAACTGGTTCGAGTGAAGACTTTTGGCAATATTCAAGTTACTGACGATTACCACATCTTTACATCAAAGAAATGTTAGTGAGGCAATCCTTAGTTCATCTCAATTCAGAATGATTTTCAACATGCTAGGTACGCAACGCATCAATAAAATTATAAATGAAGTTAGCCCATGGCTTGCACCATCAGTTGTGTTTACTCGTCAAGTAGATCAGAAATGCTTCACAAGGAAATGCTCCATGAAAATGTTCCTATATTTATGCGTCTAAACTCAAATCGTACAACTTCTTCGTTGATGCGTGCGGCGATATAGGCATGGGAAATAAATTCGTAAATACTCATTAAATATATACATCATTTCGGCTAAACACTAAACAGGGTTATTTCGAACTTGTGTGAACACACAGCCACTCACTTTGGAGTTTAGGAATGTCATCATTTCGCGTGAAAGTTAAAAATTTTCATACGAAAGTATTCAAGTCTTAACGGGGTTTAGCATGCAGCATTCAAATAGGAAAAACCTTTCACTACCGGCCTTGTTACAGCGTCAGGTAAGTTTTACGGACCAAGGATCAATAAACCCTATCCATTAATAATTTAAAATGAATCCTCGCCACTTTTACTTAATTTCCTTCGTGCGCATCCTGTTCGAGAAGTGAAATAAATTCACCAGTTCAGTCAATATACTAGATGAATCGTCTACATAGAATTTACCAGTTTATTATCAGTTTAAAACTATATTTCCGCTCATTTTCACATAAAACATTGGCAGGTTCAATGAATGTAGTGTTCTTCGTACACATAAGACGTGTTGAAGAGTTTCAACATTCAACATTATTTCAGTCAGAGTAGGTGCACTGCTCTATTTTACACCGTAATAATAATAGGCCCATTCTTCATCATAGACAGCTATGAAATATATTGATTTTACATAAAACTTTGTATTCGCATTATCATGAAAAGATTTTATTCTAACTAAATTGTTCGCTGAAATCTTGTTTAAGAGATTTTTGCAAGATTATCGAGCATTCGTTTAGCTTTATCAATATTTTTCAATCTAGATACCAAATATTTTTTATTGTTTTGAACAATCAGCTTAGAACAAAAATAATCGGTTCAAACGACCGAACGAAGTTGATTTTTGAATCTTGTTTATCTTCAATATTTGTATTTTGAATAAGTACTCAGTCATCGATAGTCAATTATGAGCTGAATTATCTTGTTGAAATAACTACTCTTCAAAAACGCCGTTGCTTCAATTTTCTCAGATTGATTTTTTTTCCTTTTTATTACGTAGCTTTACACGCTAGCTTGTTTATATATTTAGGATTGAAAACAAAACACCGATTAACAAAGAAATAACTTCAAATTGACAAGCACGGTACAAAAATTCAGTTGCTATCCATCAAAGAAAATCAATCCTCATCGTCGGTACTATCGCCGATGCAGTACTTTCATCGTCGATCAGTATCCTATTCCTCTTCGTCGCAATTATCTTCCATTTCGTCTTTGCCTACATCAGCAACTTTGTTTCCACCTTCATCATCAACTTCGTCTCTGCTCATCATCAACTTCGTCTCTGCTCATCATTAACTTTGTCTCTGCCTGCATCATTAACTTCGTCTCTGCCTTCATCATTAACTTCGTCTCTGCCTTAATCATTAATTTCGACTCTGCCTGTATCAGCAACTCCGTTTCCGCTTTTATCAGCAACTTTGTCTCTGCCTTCATCATCAACTTCGTCTCTGCCTGCATCATCAACTCCATCTCCATCTTCATCATCAATTTTGTTTCCGCCTTCATCATTAACTTCGTCTCTGCCTTCATCATTAATTTCGCCTCTGCCTGTATCAGCAACTCCGTTTCCACTTTTATCAGCAACTTTGTCTCTGCCTTCATCATCAACTTCGCCTTTGCCTTCATCATTAACGTCTTCTTTGCCTTCATCATCAACTTCGTCTGTGCCTTAATCATCATCTTCATCAAGATCCTATTGATTAGTTGGCAAATGATTTAGATTAGCTTCCTTGCCCCTTAACCAAACGGCCGCTTTTCTGATCATTCGCCCCAACTGGAAGCCAGAGTGTTGCTCACTTCTGACACTGTCATCAGAAACTTCTAAATATGCACCCGGTTCATAACATGGTATGTAGTAGACATCTTGAGACTCATCGCACGACTCCTCACTCTGGAATTCCTTTGATTGATCTTCCGTTGATTGAGGATCTGAAATAGAGTCCGAATTCCGTGTGTCGATCAGACCGCTTTGTGAAGAACTGTCAGGGTCAGCATCAGGTTGTGTATGCAGCGCGAGGGCGGTCGACTATTTACATTCAAAGTAGCATTCATCAAATGTGCTGGTGTTTTCACTGAATTTATGCTAATTATTAGCATTATCCGCACTCACGCTGCTTTGTTTTCTAGGATCTGTAATATCCTTCTTTATGTTCGTCCTTTCGTTTGACTTGAAATCAGTTGCAGAGCTCTCCGTCGTGTCATCTGAGATGGGTTATTGCCCGCAGCGTATGTCGTCTCGTTTTCGGTGCTTCCTGCAACCTTCCGCATCCGTTGAGAATCCAAAATCGCAAATCTTGCACCAATTCTCTTTGTTGGTCATCGCACAATTTTTTCGGAGATTCCACTCACTTTTCGAGGATTTTTATAAGCCAAAATTTTGTTGACTTGCTCTAGCGTTGTCTCTAATGTGACAGGGCATATTACTGATCTTAAGTCGCTCATTAAGCAGCCCAACGTCGACCTCAAGTTGACCCAGCCGCCTTCTCATTCCGAAAATCTGCTCGTCGTAAAGTTGGTACAAATCAGAAATAGCCTGCTCGATGACATCGATTTTGCTTAATTTTTCATCCATGAGTTTCTCGGACTCGTTCTGCAAGAACCGAAAATGTTTCCATGATTTTCTCGTATTTTCTCGCTGACTATCTTCTATGGCTTGGTACTGCTTTTCAATTTCGGACGATCGCACTGCACACTGACACCGGCAAATTTTTCGGCCACTTTAATGTCCATTCTGTTCGTTGTTCTAGTCATCAAAATTATCGAAATATTCGTCGAAATTAACTAAGGCGAATTCGTCCTCGAATACGCCTTCGCATTAATGCTGAATTTCTGATGCATTGACTTCTGGATCAAGTTCCATACTCACAGGGGTGGCACTTATCTCATGAATTATTTAGACATCATCGCCTCCATAACATTTTGCTTCATCTCCCACATCCAAATGATCCTGTACTGCCTCAGCAGCGCCGGAACTCTCTATCTTCATCTTGTCGTTTACTCCGATATCAGAACTGCATGCGTTGATGTTTTTCACTGGGTTTACTTCTATGCTTTCTTAAGTCGACATTATAACGGGTGAAAATCAACGTTAATGCTTGCCGAGATGCGAGACACTTCAGGTGTTTCGTCGTATTCTTGATACTCATTGAGATATCTAAATATTTTCCGACTTTTTGGCTTTTATCGGTGCGTTGAGATTACATATAATTTTAAAATTGCTGAGAAAAAATGAGATGATAATACGACCATATCAGGCTCGTACTTGTTGCAGGCCTCAGTATTTGCAGTCCCACATCCTAACACGAAAAATCGCGAAGAAAGTTTCCATGAAGTTTCAATTGTATGCACTTAAATTAGCAGCGCTATCATACTGCCAGTAATACAAATATAATGACAGGCGGCAATGCTCTATGTGGGTCTCAGTCGACAGTAGCAGTGCTACAAAATTCATAGATCAAAAAGTTCGGGCAGTCGTAAAAGGGCGGCCCAGTTGTTACAGTTCAGAGTACCAAGATTGGCGCAGAGAGGCGCGGGTTCGATCCCAGCTCTGTGCGCCAGTTTCTGGTCAGAATCGGCGAGGAGGCCGGGCGGTTAAGCACAGCAGAATTGTAGCAGTGAGTTACGGGTTCGAGACCGCAACATGCTGTGAATATTCGGTCATGTTAAGAATCGGCGACAGGCCTACGGCCTCATAAACGCTGACGCTATTATTTATTTTATTATAATATGATCGCGAATTTAGCACTGAAAATTTATCAATAATCAGAGTATCACTAAACTCTGCCTGAAACGAACTCATCTAATAATTTAATCATTTAATTCAAGCCTCTTACATTGGAAATGAACTGTAAAATAAGGAAATTTGGCATCCACAACCTCACATGAGTGGAGCGAGCTTCATGTGCACAAAAATATGATAAATCTCGTTGGTTATAAGCAGTTCGGAGTTTGCAAGATTTTCAATTTTGAATACCAAGAAATAGTAATAAATTCACTGTATTATCCTCAGTAGCTGGTGTAGTTACCCATACATTATAGATAACCATTCACCATTCAAAGTTGGACGCTTCTTGCGGTACCTGAGAGAACATGTATTAAAGTATCGGACGCATGCAAGAGCTGTTTGCTGCTTAACTAATTTCTTTAGGCAGTACGGTTTTACTTTAATCGTACCTCCTGCGATTATCATCTTGTTGTAGCTAGTATTTTCCTCTCATTGTTGCTGTACTCGTTTATTCTTGCTTGTATTGTCTGGGATAATTATATTCCTTCGTTTTTATTGATCGAATCAAGTAAGTGAAATACTTGTTAGGTTTTACACTTGCTTCACGATTGTGACTCAACCCAAGCTCACTCACATGGAAATAGTTTCTTTCGTCATCCGCTGCTACCTAATTCTTTACATTGCTTTCCCTGTTCATCAAAAACAACATGCAATGTTTGTCCTATTGTTTGCCTCTGTAAGACCAGCGATGCAAGCATTGATTCGTGTCGGTGGTCTTGCAATGGTTGGTACGTGTGCATGGGTACGGTACAAAAGGTTTGTTTGTATTTGTAGTTTAAAAGTGTGCAAAGGTCGAAAAAATATAACTCGGTACTCACTGCAGTGAGTGACAGAGAGCGCATTTTCTCGTCGACGAAAACTTGAGGTCACGGACATACGGACGGACAGACGGACAGACAGACAGACGGACATGGCGAGCGCATTTTCCATAAATGAGAAAATGCGCTAACAACATCGTTCGTTCTTCATAACATCTAACTAATGGTCTGTTGCTTATCTTATAAACATTTATATGTAGGTTATATATATCATAGAGTGGCATATATTTTTAAGTTTGTATTCACTTGCTTTTTAGCGCATTTTCTCATTTATGGAAAAAGGGCGCTATTGTGCTCGTCATGTCCGTCTATCCGTCCGTCCGTGACCACTTTTTCGTCGACGAGAAAATGCGCTCACTGCAGTGAGTACTGAGTTATATTTTTTACTTATTAGTTCGATGTTCGGGCGGCTAACTTTGATCCTGATAAGATAACGTCCAACTCGTTTTTATCGCGTGGCAAACTGCAGTGCACTTCTCCACACCGTGCAGGTGTGATGTCAGCAGTCTGTGTCAACCTAGCGAGTGAGTGGGAAGAACGTAGAATCTGTATTCTTTTTATGGGGATTAAAAATGAAAATGGCTTAAATTCCCTTATTGTTCTCACCAGCAATATTTTGCCTTAAAATTTTGACTGTGACAACTCCAAGTTTGCAAGCTGTGACCTCAATTGCGTACTTCGATGTACGGGTTGCCATAGTACTCAAGTGGCCGACCTCGAGTGTGAACTTCATTCACGTTAAATAGAAGTGAATGAAAACATTCTGGTAATATTTTGTATAGCTGTGCCCTTTTTTGCTGTGACTCGAAGTCAATAAAATTCCTGCCTGACCATAATTCCGTAGTTTTTATTGAGTGGCAGCGAGTTATGTGCAAAAAAACGAGTATCTTAATTAATATTATTGTTTGTCAGACTTTTTTCATGTAATTACATTAAATCTATTTCATATGTAAAAATCTGGGTAATTGAAGATTCTTTGTTTATATTAGTCGACTTGGCTAGGTGGGAAGTGTTAATAAAAATTTAGAATACGAATTCCACAATCGAATCTCTGTGGACAGTCGTGATTATTATGTGAATTTGTTCACATAAAAATTTATTTATTTGTTAACATAATTGCATTTATGTGATCCAACAACGAAAAATGAAACATACGAATCCAAACATCAAGTGGTAGACTTGATGATAAGTCGACTTCATCTATTGAAAGATGATATGAACGTGTTGAGGTTTTCTGAAGAGAATTAATTAGAAAGCATTCTCGAGCAAAAAGTAATGCTTGCTTTTATATCAATTTCAGTTATTTCACCTAAAATGAATTATCCTTTTATTCGACACCCATTTAAGAACATTGGCAGAGTTAACTTTCACTTTTCAGCGCCAAACAAACATGCGAATGATCATTCAAAAAATTTTGCCTAAGCAATAATTTATCAATCACCATGTATCAAATTCCAGTTGTTTTGATATCCTTTAAAAAGGATACTCCCAATTATAGATAAAGGATCGACGTAGCTAGGAAGAAATATTGCATATCTTACCTTAACTCTCGCACAACCAAGGTACGTTTTTACGATTGAGAACGTTTAAAGTAAACGGATACCAAAATTTAAATTGCCCATTTGCTAATGTATGGTTTCTAACTTATCAAGAACATTCATATTTTTGAGACTACAATGTGCATGATAGTTTTGTAGTGATGAAAAGACGGATAATGCGATATGGCTGAATCGTTCGCGGTTATCTGGACAGACTTCAATGGAATATATACGAGGACAAACTTGTTCACATATCATATTGCTATTCCTATCGCTTTTATGGAGTAGCTCGCTGCAGGTGCTTAACACTCACATTCGTGGGCACAGAAACCAGTAATCGCCATCAACCGCCGGAAAACATTCTTAATATTCTATTCTGCACTCCTAACTTCAATTCTTTCTGTTAATTCAATCTGTCTGTTCTCTTTATTTGATTAATTCTATTCCATTAATTTAATGAATTCAAAAAATCAAACTCATAACTTCAATTCCGTTTAAAATCAGGAGAATGATCAAGAAATTTATTCGTCATTGCCACACTTCCCAGTTTATGTTATAAATTTTTGTTCTCTGTGCAGGCGACAGCCCTGTCTCCATGCCCCCCGTGGACCCCGCGCCACCGCCGGAGGGGGGCGGCCGGCCGAGACCTGCGGCGATCGGCATCGACTTCGGGACGAGCAAATGCTGCGTGGCTGCGGTGCGCGACGGTCGGGTGGACGTCCTGGAGAACGAGTTGAGGCAAAGGACGACGCCTTCCTGTGTTGCCTTCAACTCCCAGCAGCGACTAGTGGGCAGCGATGCCCTGGACCAGGCCGTTGTGAACTGCACCAACACCGTGCACGCCGTCAAGAGCTTCCTGGGGAGGACCTACGACGAAGTAAAGGATATGTCTTCTCTCTGCAGAATTCAACAAACTTACTCCGATAATAAATTCGAGTACGCCGTCCAGTACAAAAATCATGATCAGAGGCTGAGACCCGATCAGGTGGCCGCCATGCTGCTCGGGAAGATGAAGGACATCGCGGAATCCTCTCTGGGTTGTCCCGTGGACCGCGCCGTCATCTCGGTACCGGCTTCGTTCGGCAACGCGCAGCGACTCGCGGTAAAATACGCCGCGAAAGTCGCAGGACTTGAAGTTCTTGAGCTGATCAACGAAACAACCGCGGCGGGGGTCGCCTTCGCGGACAACCGCACCGTCAAAACCCCCGCGGTTATCGCGGTGGTGGATTTCGGGGCGGGCAAGCTGGATGTGTCCATCATGGAGGTGAGGGATGGATCGGTGAATGTCATAGCCACAAATGGAAACCCCAACCTTGGTGGTCGTGACTTAGATGAGGCCTTGGCTGCCCATTGTGAGACACTAATTCAGGAAAAATATAACTACACGGTAAAGGATAAGAAGCAGCTGGAAAGACTGCGCATTGCGTGTGAAAAATCCAAGAAAACTCTGGCTTTGCTTCCAGAGGCTCGTTTGAGCCTTGATGGCATTTTTGGCAGCACCGACGCAAACCTCACCATCAAGAGAAAAGAATTCAATTCACTCATTTCCCGTGATATCAGGCGTGAAATAACGCTCTCTTTCGATCGTCTCATCTCTCAGAAATCATTAACCAAAGACGTAATCAGCAAGGTTGTGCTGGTCGGAGGTTCAACACGCGTGCCGCTGGTGCGTGCCATCCTAGAGGAATATTTCGGTCCGGGGAAGTTGGACCAAACGGTGAACCAAGACGAGGCTGTGGCCCTGGGCGCCGCCTTACGGGCTGCTGCCCTCGACGGGCGTGGAGCTGCAGTGGGCGGCATCGCAGTGCGTGATGTTTCTTTTTACGACATCGTTTGCACTGGTGTGGCTGGAAAAGAACATACAGTGCTCAGGCATACTCCTCTCCCTCACGAATCATCCTTTTCTATTGAAAGACCGAGCTTTAGCTTTATCTCGGTTAATTTTCTTGAGAGAAACTATACTCTTAACGACCAAGGAGTTCAATGTCTACTTGCTTCTCTAAAAGTTCACGCATGTGAAAATCCAATGGACTCCTCTTTCAAAGTCTTTATCATATTAGATACTTCTGGCATTTTTTCTTGCACTGTCCTTCAAAGAGACTCGTTCGTTGAATTCAACTTGTTGCATTTCTGCCCAGATGAACTTATTCATGAATGGGTGTCAGAAGAGAACCGATTTCTGAAGGACATTGAACGTGAGACCAAGCGCGTCGATGCAGAAGTAAATTTAGATTCGCTGTGCATCGAAATTGGGAATATGATGTCTGATGCAGAGCACCTGTTCCCTGTTGGCTTAGAAGCAAGAGAGAAATTTAAATCGTTCGAGGCCGAGCTGCAAAAAATCGCAGAGTGGAACGAAAGTTCCGAATCTGCTTCAATAGAAGCGATTTCTGCCAAAATGGATGAACTCGCTGTCATTCGAGTACAACTTGTTGAAATGATTCAAGAACAGCGCACCAGGTCACCCGGCGAAGTGAGAAACTTGAATTCAATGGTCGTAAAAAATGAGCTTCATGAACAGCAAAGAACTACAGGCCTACATTTGGGAACCGAATCAGTATGGCATATGTCTTCTGAAGACGACAAACCCAACATGGATGTACAGATACGGTCAGAAAACGCTACAGCTGATGCATCATCTAGGGAGCAGGGGCGAGAACAGCCGTCCACTGCAGCTTCTTTGCCATCACTTGCTGACATGAGTCATAGCCTGCCGACTTGTTCAAGAATTGAAATGGTAGACGTAAATCTCACAGTGGGAATACGTGCAGCAAATATCGTTGATATTCAATCTAAAAATCATTTGACACCGGAAGAGATGGAGAATGATCATCATCCTCTCCCTGAAAATCGTTCAACATCAGGAAAGCTAAAGAGGAAACTTCGTTTCTCTTCAAGACGTCGTCTCACAACAGATGAAATGGAGAAAAAACTTCGTTCAAATTCTAAGAATTGTCCCGCATCAGATGATATCAAGAGTAAACTCCGTTCATATTCTAAGCAATGTCCAGCATCAGATGATATCAAGAGCAAGCTCCGTTCATATTCTAAGCATTGTCCAGCATCAGATGATATCAAGAGTAAACTCCGTTCATATGCTAAGCATTGTCCCGCATCAGATGATATCAAGAGTAAACTCCGTTCATATGCTAAGCATTGTCCAGCATCAGATGAGTCAGCTGTGAAGAAAAGGAAACTTCGTTCTTCTTCTAAACCTTGTCCATCATCATATGACATCAAGAGGAAACTCCGTTCTTCATTACGACAGAATCCAACACCGGATGAGATAAATAAGAAACATCGCTCCTCTTAAAGATATCTCCCAGCATCGGACACAATGAAGCGAATATTTCATTTTAATTCGAGGGAAACGAGGGAAAATCGTCCCAGTACTTCTTTGGAGTGCTGACACGAAGGATAATAATCGTTACCAGCTAATATCATGAAGTCATTGATTCGTCATCAATCAGTCGGTTGATGAGGCCACTTATGTGGCGTGCAACTCTCACTGGTGCGCTATAAGACGAGACTCTCATTTTTCATGTTATGTATATTTGCAGGTATATATACATGCAGATATATTTCATGCAGATATATTTCATGCAGGTATATACATGCAGGAAATATACATGCAGGTATATTCATTTACCTGCAACTCTCACTGGTCCGCCATGAGACGAGGCTCTCATTGTGTCCGCGTATACACGATGCGGAGCTATTGGTGGACCATCGTTCCCTGCACGTTGTCGTTACAACTTTAGATGAATTTTCTGGTCTTGATTTTATTCCCGAAGAGCGTCACCGGTGTCGGTTGGTGCTAAATTAGTGAATGAAATTTCTTAGCTTATATTACTTGACTGACTGCAGGCGATCCATCGCGGCCTGGGACTGCTATGTCCCAAACAAGTAGCTACCAAGATTACCAAGATTACCAGGATGACTCGTATATTTTATTTTACTCAGTCAGTCAATTCATGTATTTATTTTGTGTTTTATATTTCTTCTGCCTAATTTCTTGCAATTCCTTTGGCAGATAACTTCTGTCTGGTTTACTACCATAAATAATTGATTTTAAGAAATGTTGTTATTGAAAAATCTACAAACATAAGCCGTGTGTTCCCTTTGCCCTAACTATTAAAATCATCACGTCAAACTTCTTTGCTTTCATTTTGTACTTTTGAAGCCTTTTTCTGTGGTGGAAACCGCGGAGATAATGAAAAATTAATTAATTCCATATATAGACTACATGTGTGATTATTTAAAACGTTTTCAGGAAATCACTAGTATCCCTACGTTTTGCATTACACGGTAATACTTATTTATACCTACGACCTTCACCGACGGCAGTTAAATGGGATGAAATAATCTTCGATTCCGTCAAAATCTAATTGCATCAACGTTTGATGAATAATATAATTGCAACTCACTTGAGATCGAGTACCTATATACAGCGATCAAAATAATATGCATCGCAGGTAATGAAATCACGTTAAAATTTAATGACTGTATTGTTTCTATTCTTTCCTGCGTGGTTGGCATGGGCGTTACCTGGTGATTTGTGACTGGCATTCAAGTCTGCGAATATTTACACTGGGTGAGGTCTGTTCAAGAGAGTATGAAACTCGATGTAGTTGATGTAGTCGATGCATGGAGGTATGTAGGTGGTTCCAATTGACATAGGGCCCTGTTTGGTGTCTATAGTAATAGCGAGCATATCAGAATGAAATTTACTTATATTAGCAGTCTGCTTATATCGCAAGTTCACAAGGAATTTAAAAGCAAAGAAAACACCAAGCAAATTCACCATATTTTTAGTTTTTCGAACTGATGATGGAGCTGGACTCCGAAACGTTTTCAATGTCGATATGGTGAATTTGCTTGGTGTTTTCTTTGACTTTAAATTCCTTTAGAATGAAATTTGTCCTGTAATTTGCACGGAATGTGGCTTTTTACTGCAATGGCGGCGCCGGCATGAGGTTCGTTTTCTTTGTTGCAGTTGTATGTATGGGAATTAAAAATCTTCAGAGGGCTGTTGTTGATGAGTTAGTGATCGTAGAGGAGGATGATGTCTGGGTCGATGGTTTTGTATATGTTTGACCAAGCGAATTTTTTCTTGTTCCAGGTTTGGACGTTGTGTTGTAATATTTTTAGTGAGCGCAGTAAAGTCATGTGTGGAGGGGACGTTTAGAGGTTAACGCTTTTTTTTTGAGGTGATTGGTGTAATGATAGTGATTACAACAATGAGGTGAGGCGGTGGGTATATCTTTCCTGCTCTACTGGGAGGGGATGATTTTCGTATTGTACAGATAGAAACCGTCTATAAATATTCCCAGAAGGCATCTGACGTTGAAACAACGTTGATTATTGATAGATTCCAGATTGAAATGTTGGACAACCAAAATAAAACGCCATATCAACGTCGAAATATGAGCAAGACTAGAAGATACGTAAAACAACCTTATTTAAACTATTAAATAACGTCGATATTGGTACGTTGAATATTGATTCATTTTTAAACGGTAAATCCATGTTGATTTCAGGGTGAAACGTTTAACAACCAAAATTAAACGTCCAATCAACATCGAAGTCTGACCAACACCAGAAGAGACGTAAGTCAACTTTATTCCAACGTAGAAAAAATGTCGAAATTGGTACGTACGTAAAATGTTGATTTATTTTTAAACGTGCCATAAATGTTGATTTCACGTTGAAATGCTGAATAAATAACACAATAAGTTACCTAACAATTCTTTTATAACACATAAAATCAAGTATTAATTATTGGCGTTGCTTGGAATGCTTGAACACCAACACCTCGATCGTACAACGTCGATCAGTTCTTCGTCACGTCACCAGTAATGCAACCCTGCGATAGCACGCGACCTGTGAGTTTTGATTGTAGATGATGGTGATTATAAATTCTCTACACGTTCAAGTGTCTCTTCTCTGAAGAATAGCGAAAATAAATGATATTTAGAAAATTTCGGCTCAAAAATGCCTTTGTATTGAGTCACGGTGTAAAAAGTTAGGTTAAAAGGCTTATTTTGCTTTATCATGCACGTGGGCTACCGTGGTCAAGTTGACTATATATATGAGGCGTCGGGCGGTCTGAAGCGATCTCGGGATCGAATCCTGCCACAGTCGAATGGTTCTTGCAGCGGAGGAGTATAGGTAAATGATTAGGTAGGGTTAGAAATAGTATGTCTGTATCTAATTAAATGCAACTCATTGTATTAAGATTCTCATATATTATGTAACTCTAACAATAGAACATGTATAATGATATCCGCTCATACATCAACATGATGGGACTTTTTTCAACGCGATCCCAACGTCATAAATGGTTGGTTCTGCAACGTTTATTCAACCAGAGAATTTGACGTTGCAGCAACGTCGTAGAGGCAACATTGATTAAATGTTGCATTGTAACGTTGTCATACGAAAATAGTTCTTTTTGTGCGTAGGTAAGGTGTATAACGGGCGTCAGGTTGATTCTTTTGAATAGTTCAGTGGCTTTACGGGAGGTCAATTTGTCGATGACAGAAGCGTCGCCCGTCACCGCGTAGAAGCCGTTGGTTGTGTTTGCTAGTTGGATGAGAGGTGCGTCAAGTTCCTTGCAGGCCGTTTGGTAGATCTTTTGTCTATCTGTTGTCAGTCGAGGGTAAATTATTTTGAGCTATATTCGGTAGGTTTGAGGTCTCGAGCGTTCAGTTAGCACTGGTTTATGAGGTGGAATGAGGGTTGATGAATATGAATGCGGGTGGCGTTATGATTATGAGGGTAGTCTGGGTAGTGGGTTGGGAAGGGAGCCCCTAGCCTCTTTGGGGACGAGCCCGTCGGGTTCAGGCCGGGGTCACCCCTTGCAGGAGGAGGCATAAAAATGGAGGCAGGGGAGAGAATGAAGGCACATGCATTTGGTTGTGAGATGTAACTGATGTAAATTTATTATTCCTATTAAACTCTATCGCTAAATTCATTTCCAGTTTTGTTCCATTGGTCTAGACGGATAAGGAAGGATTCCTGTCATAGAGTATAAATGTGACTGAGTGAATTTCAACTCTATTAGTTTATTCAAACTAATTTCATTTAAATTAATACTAGAATTATTTATCACATATGCATAAAAAACTTTCCTTAAAATTCCTAGTGGCAATTTATGTGTTGATGAACAATGAATACGCCATCATTCGTAGCAGAACATTGATGGAGAACAATATTAGTTCAAAATAATACGTATTGGGAGAACCTGAGCTCACAGGGGGTGCCATATCACCACTTTTCCAGTGGGCTCGGAGAAATGTTGATTGTTGGGGGAACAAGTGTTCCCTCCTTGGGATCATCTGTTTTAAGTTGTGCTATGGGGGTGTTCGTTTTTTATTTTTAATAATGCCCCGTGCATGTATCTATTTTGTAGTTTTTCTCATCGTTAATTTCTGTCCGTCTCTCTCTTCCAATGTCTTGGTCTACTTTCCG